CAAGCTTTGTGTTTTTCCCCTTCTCGAGCGTCTCTCTCTATCAATTCCCTTCTCTCTCTTTCTTTTTGTTCTTTCTATTTTTCTTATTCAAACCCTCTTTCTTTTACCCTATTTAACATGTAATTAATTGTAAAAGATGACAATAATAACCCACAATTTAACTCAAGGTTACCTCTTTTATCCCCCAAGAAATTGAGTTATTAATATAAACCCACGAAATATATAATTCTAGCAGGAATAGTCCAAAACGCCCCTTTAAAACTTAACCATAAATCCGACTCCGACTGGGATTACGCAACCTGTGACGGCCCGCCACGCATGCGACGTCCGTCATGCAGGTTCGTCAGAGACTCGATTTCCTTAAGGAGTCTGTGACGGCCCGTCGTACCTACGACGGTCCGTCCTGCACTTCCGTCACGACGTTCAGAGAATCGTTCCCTGTACCAAATTCTCAAAAGTTGAAGTGTTTTGAAACGGTGGATCACGACGGTTCGTCGTGCCTGTGACGGTCCGTCCTGCAGGTCCGTCACAGAGTTCAGAGAGTCGATTTCAGCACCCAATTTCAAAATTTCTAAGTGTTTTGGAACGAGACACCCTCGACGGTCTGTCGTGCCCATGACGGTCCGTCGTGGGTTCCGTCGTCTCAGCCTGTTTTTCCAGAAATAAAATCTGCTGCTCAAAACGACTAAACAGGTCGTTACACGAGCAAACACTTTTTCTAAATACTTAAAAACTAAAAGAAAAGCACAAATCAATGCACAAAATATTATGCATTATTAAGGATTTTATGAAGGACCACATTTTAAAAAATGTATGGTAGATCGTCTATTCTAATGCAAATGTTAAAAGCTACTTACAAGCCTCAAACTTGTAACCTAAATCACATGTATAGAAATAATCTTATCGTTGCTCCAATGCTTCCCTTCTGGAGACTCAAAAACCAAAATTTCAAACATTTTATATTTTTATAATCTTCAAAATATATGATAATAATAAAATAAAAATAAAAAGGAATCAAAACACATGTCAATTCTTTTATAGAATTCCATTCCCACTCTATAAAGCTACAAAAAGAAACATTGGTGTTATACATATTCAAGTCCTTTTTCCATTTTTCATCCACACTTACAAGCATATGCTAATAATATTTCCTAATTCCTTTAATTATTCAATACTCAAGAAACACATTTAGATTTATTTATTATTTTTTTTAAAATGTGGGTTAAGGAAATTTAAATTATTTTCTAAAGTAAAAAAACGAATAAGACCTTTTCTTATTCTAAAAGATATTACAAAAAGATAATTATAACAATCTCGAAATTATTAATTCTGATGTAAAAAATGCATAAAATATAAAATAAAACAATCCACCATTTATTATAAAAAGTATAATCTTTTCCTCCCAACAATTAAAACACCTCTTAACCCTACTTTTTTTACTATTCTAGAATAATTGACATTATTTATTGGTTTCTAGACATTTTCTTTATCATTTTTGCCATAACATATTTCCATGGGTGGTTCGACAGTGTAAAAAAAAAGACATGTGTCTTAGTCCCCCAAATTTAAGGGGTCTTATTTTTAATAATAATAGGTTATAAGTTATTATTTATTTAAAAAATAGTGAATACTATTTGCAGAAAAAGTAAAATTTTCATGAAAATGAAGGAATTATTAGAAGAAATTTCACATATTTGGAGTATTATATCTCATTAAAAATAATTTAAAATAAGAATGGTTATATTATCAATTGAAAACTAGAAGAAATTAATTATATAAAAATTATTAACAATTAAAGTTTAAGGCCCCGTTTAATTTTTGTTTTAGACCACTAATATATTTGAGTCGCTCCCGCATATTCCCAAATATATGCCCTTTCCATCTTTTCTTTCGATGTGTATTTCTTTATGAGTAAATTCCAAGCAACATATTACAAACATTTTGACTAAAAAACTTATTTGTGTGACATTACAAGGCACAACAAAGCAAAAATAAAAATATTTGTGGAATACTTGTGAATCAAGTCATATATTACCATGATGAAAATAAAAAAGGAAAAATTACACAAATAAACAAATTTATAGTATTTAATTACTCATCATAGCTATATTTTGTTATAATTACCATTAGCGACTAACACATTATACATTAATTACGTGGGCTGACTTCGAGTTTGTATAATTAGTCATGTTTGTATATGTATAATTCGCCAGGATATACAAATAAATATGTACAATATACAATTTTTTAGCTATATAACATATACAATTCACCTCTCTTCCACTCTCTGCCCTATCTCGCTCGCCTCTCTCCTCCCTCTCTCAATCTAGCTCGCCTCTCTCTTCCCTCTCCCAATCTCGCTTGCCATTTATACAAATATATATGTATAATATACATTTATATACAATTATGTACATATACAATTCACCTCTCTCCCACTCTCTGCCTTCTCTCGCTCTACTCGCCTCTCTCCTCCCTCTCCTAATCTCTCTTGCCATATATACAATTACATATGTATAATATACAAACCAATATACATATACAATTCACATTTTTCCCACTTTTTTCCCCCTCTCCCTCCTCTCTCTCCCAGTCTCGCTCGCCTCTCTCCTCCAAATAATATGTAGTTACAAATTGTAATTATCAAACTATAACTATAGAGAGTAATTAATTATTTTTAAGTTGCTATATGTGAAAGTTTCCCTGAAAAAAATTTGTTAATAATTAAAAGATTAAAAAAGCTATTATCCCTTATTTTAACCCTTTTGCAAAATTGGTTTTTGCAAATCGCTTTTTCTATCATTTGCACCAAAAATATAATCATACACAATGGCATTAAATCAAATAAAAGTATTGGATTGAGAATAATTAAAATAATCTTTTTTCTGTTAATAAATTATTATTATTGCCACTAATTTTACCTTAATGGTCAATAAAGTGATAATATACACAACAATTATTACACGCAATATAGCTTATTATAACCACTTTGTCCACTACTTATTGTACCCAATAATAAAGTTTGGTCAAGAGAATTAATTTTGTAGGACTATAGTAATAATTTTTTCAAATATTCTTTTATAATTTTTATTCAATATCATACATATTCAAATACATTTAAAAAATTTCAATATCATTCTCGAATAATTTTTTTTTTCAAATTTCATAATTTTTATATCTAAAAACAATCGAAAAAACTCAAAAGCACATGGATATGCTATCTTTTGTGGATTCCACTCCTTGATTGATGGGTATCAAATTGAAAATTAGTACACTTACCGTACCCAATCTAATAACTTTAGCTTTATTTCCTTTTGATTCTATAAAAAATAATAATTGACGCCCTTCATTTATACGTATTTTCTCCGTTTAAAAAAATTATCTTTTTTTGTTAGTCTGTTTAAAAGAATGACTTTTTTTTTTTAATAATATTTTGATTTCAGTTTTCTACGTGATATGTTTAAGACCACAAGATCAAAGGATATTTTTTATCTAACTTTAATTTAAGACCTAAGATTCAAAAGTCCTTTTTATACTCTTAAACTCTATACCAAGTCAAACCAGATCATTCTTTGTGAAAAGGAGAGAATATTTATTATCGTAGAAAAGACATAAAATCACTAATAAAATTGTTCCGAAATTATGTAAAGATATCTTAATTTTTGAATTGTTCTATTACCTACAAAACTATTTAATATCTTTGTAAATAGATTATATTGACCTATTACCACGCATCTGAGACGTGTGAGGCAGTGTTTGCACTGCTGTTAATCAGCTATAAAGTGTCATGTGTCATATTATTTCTTTATTATTAATTATTTAATTAATTCATATTATCTTCCCCGCATTTAAAGAGAAAAGAGTTGTTTATTTTATAATACGTTAGTAAACTATTTGACGATCGATCGAATCATGTATATTCATATGTTTTTTTTAAGGAGCTTTGATCGAGTTGTAAGCTTGTAACCATAAGTGTAAATAGAAATTTACTATTTTTCGTTGTTTTTATTATGTTGTCATTTATATATTTTAATTTTAGATATATCATAATTAGATATTTGAATTTATATAAAATTAAATAAATATCTATATGCGTCTCATATAGCCATTCGCATGAGATATATTCAAATTAATTAGTATTACGTTACCTAGAATACATGTTTCAATCTATTCACATCCAAAAATTAAAGATGATAAATATCTGTTAAAATCAAACTAAATGACAAAGTTATATATTATTCAAATATAGCAATATGCATTGTATGACTATAATAATTTTTTTCAAATTTCACAATTTTTACGTTTAAACGATCCGAAAAAAACCTAAAAGCATATGGATATGCTATCTTTTGTGGATACCATTCCCCACACCCACAAAAGCTAAAAGAAATATGACCCACCACTACTTAATTAATGTCTACCAAATAAGATGAGTACAACCTACCGTACTTCATTAATCCAAACACAATAAACAAAAAAAAAAATGCTAACATTGTTTTCTTTTTTGTTGCGATGACGAGATTATTCTATTTTTAATTAAAATTGAATTATCAAGTTGTGGTGCGATGATGAGATTATTTTGTTTTAATTAGAGATTTTGAGTTTTATATATAAAGAAAATCTTATTGAATGTGTTATATCCGAATGAGTCTTATAATGCTTGATTTTAAATTAATCGACACTTCAACACTGACATCAATATAAAAAAATTATTTTCTTCTAGTAAATTCAGAGGGACCATCCTTCATTTATTTGATGATTTAACTTATTTTGGAAACTTTATGTATAATATATATATTTTTCTTTTCATATTTTTGTAGATTTTTTACTTTTGTAGTTCTACGAAGTATAAATTGATAAACTTTCTTTTCACTTTACATAACATTTAAGGTAATAAGGTCAAATTGATAAAATTGTGTCATTTAAAATAGTTTAGTATTTTAGAGCAATAAGAGGTGAAAATCTTATTTTTGAGCTGCTTGAATAATTGAATGTATTTTTAAGCTAGTTGTCCAATCATAAAAAATATTTTATGCAAATAAATGTAATAAAAAAAACTAACCTAATTCAAATAATTCAAGAATAATAATAATCATTTTTCCTTAATGAAATTTTTTTGTGATTCAGAAGTCTTGTTTAAGAGAAAATTATATAATTAGTAAATTATTTATACGTAAGTCAATAAACCAAATTATATTTATTTATATATTTTTTTAGGGAGCTCGAATTTTAACCACAAGCCTATGTAAAAATTTACTTATCGCATCACCATTAATAATATATCTCGAGTAATTCTACAAGCAATGTCTAAGCAGAAAAACATATGGGAAAAAAAGACAAATATACCCCCAATCTGTCATGAACCACGTGTCCCTATTTAGTCTTCTGTTAGAGTGAACGACATATATTCTCAAGTTTTTGAATTGGAGAGGCAACAATGTCCCAAAGTATGACGGATGTATCTGCATCTACGATAGTTCGGGGGTATTTTGTCCATTTTCCCAAACATTATATACATAAACCTTACCTTTACTTTACTTGGAGATGTAGCGAGCCAGTTTTCAATAAACCTCAATTCAATGTAAAACACTAAACAAGATTATAACTTGAAACAACAACAAGAACATATTTCGTGTAATCCTCCAAAAATGAAGTCTGAAAAGGACAGTATATACATAAACCTAAACCTTTCCCTTATGTTGAGAGATAGAGAATTCAGTTCCGATGAACTCCCGCTAAATGAAAGAAATCAAAATGAAATACTAAATAAAAGGCATGTAGAAATTTACCAAAAAGATTCATAAATATAACAAAAGTAGAAATTTTTTTTATTACATAGTAAACTCAACAACAAAACTTTGATACAGCACCAAAACATACATATATCCCTCTCTCCCTCAACCCTTTATAATTAAAAATAATAATAATAAATATAAAGGTGGGGTAAGCTTGGATCTTTTTATATAGCCTGAAATTTTTTTTCTTCTTGTTATATTATAATATAAAGTAGGAGATTCATTATCATCTACAAGATTCTTCTCCACAACATAACAAACCATAATTTTATTTTTATTTTTTTGGTGCAATATACACAAACAAACACATTAGAAGAAGCTTTTTTATCATCAAAATTTGTACTGCTACTAGTATTTATTAGTATCTTGTTCAAGTTCAATCAACCATTGATCTTGTTTCTCCTCCATTAAGCACCCATGGATGTCCTGTATTTAACAAAAATAACATCAACATCACATAATATTCATCAATGAGAAAACACTAAATTGAACAATCAAGAAAATATTTTGAACGAACGACTGGGAGTTGCTGGGATGGTAAGCCTCCCTCACATTCAATTCTACGTAAGTTCGAGTTATCAAGGAAACACACTATGAAGGGGTAAAAAAGAACGACTGGGAGTTGCTAGGATGGTAAACATCCCTCACATCTAATTCTAGGTAAGTATTCTACGTAAGTTCGAGTCATCAAGAAAGCACACTATGAAGGGGTAAAAAAGAAACAAATTTTTATTGAAACTAAGCTCCTAAACTAACTAAAACAAGACAACGTCTCAATCTTAAATAAGTTGGGATTCAATAGTATGAATAATCGTTATTTAAGCTCATTTCATGTCATAACAATTACTAATCCTACACGTGAAGTTTAGAAAGGATAGAATGTCTATGAATCGTATTTAAAGATAGAGATTCTACGAGGCTATTTCTGATAAATTCGTCTTAAATAAAGCATATCGATACGGAATACGGATATGGAGAACAGAAATATTAAATTTAACTTACTCAATACTTGTTCAGCTGAAAATCTTCTGGAAACATCTTTACATATCATCTTCCTCAACAAATCTTTCGCTTCAGGCGAAACTGACCGGAAATTCCTCGTCGGAAACCTCAGATTCCCTCTGAGAACAGCTTGAAAAGTTTCAGTCGGCGTTTCACCGTAAAAAGGAGGAACCCCAGAAAGCATAATATACAAAATAACCCCCAAACTCCACACATCAACTTTCTCATTATACTCTTTCCCCATTAAAACCTCCGGCGCAACGTAATACGGCGTACCCACAACCCCATTCATCTTCCTCCCATCACAACCAGCAAACCACTCCGCAGATCCAAAATCAGCAAGCTTCAATCTATTCTCAGAATCAAACAACACATTATCCGGCTTAATGTCACGATGAGCTACACCCATATGATGACAATAGCTAATCGCAGAAACCAATTGAATCAGAATAGCCGCGGCAGCCGATTCTGACAACGACCCAGATGAAACCCTTTCATATAAATCACTATTCGGGCAGAAATCGGTTACCATATGAAGGAAATCGTCATCTTCGTAAACCTTATAAAGATGAAGAATGTTGGGGTTACCTGAAAGAAGTTGAAGAATTTTGGGTTCTTTATCGAGACATTCACGGTCGGTGGAATCAATGAGGAGGTTTTTGTCGATAGATTTACAGGCGTAGGATTCTCCGGTCGCCGGAGAAAAGCAGCGGTAGACGGTACCGAATCTCCCACGGCCGATTTCTTCGCAAATTTGAAAATCGTTTTTCAAAGTTTTAAACATTTTTTCAAAGGCTTTGATCTGTTTTTTTTTTTTTTTAATTTTGGGGTTTTAATAGAATGAAATAAGTTATATTTATAAAGTATAAAATCGAATATTTATAGCCTAAGGTTTTACATGGGGTCATTAATCGAGTAAATAAATGAGTGGGTCATTAATTTACATAAATTTAATGTACTTAAATGAGTCGTTATTTGTTTTGACTAAAACTTTTACCTCTGTTCGCTTCCAATTTTTTATTAGTCAATCAAAATTATAAGCTGAGTCAGTCATTAACTCGCACAAATTTAACGTGATTGAAAAAGTAATGATTCATAGACTCACCGTTACTCTAACCATATTTTCCTATATAGTATATAATATACGTAAATTACATGTCAAATTAAATTATATAAAGTATATAAAATACGTAAATTTTATGTCAAATTAAATTATATCGCAAAGTTATTAAGTAGGACGGCAATAGTTGAGTCATGAATGTGACAAGGCACGACGAATATTGCATGTTTTATTATAAAATTGTTTAATTTTAATCAACGTTAAATTCTACATATATTAATTTTTTTATTTTATATCATATGATATAAAATAAAATAAATTTAAGGTTTATGTGGAGAAAGTTAGGTTAATTGACTTTTATAGTGTAAGCAATTAGGTCATATCAGGTATTGTTTGTATATTAACAGCAAGAAAGTGGACTTTTTTTTAATTAAAAGAATATACTTAGCAAGCGTTTAATTATTTTATTTTGAAATTGTGAGTCGAAGTTAAAGATAAAATAGTATTTCATTTGACATTTAGATCAACGAATTATCAGAATTTTATCACAAAAAAGTCATGATATAAAAAATCAATAGTGACCAAGAGTAATCTTATGAATATACTTCTCTCAACTCTTAGTATTATTTCGTAACTTTGGAATAAATTATTCATAACTTCTCATGAATCAAAAGAAGTTCTCGAAAAACGAATTATCAGTATTTTTTGCATTAAAATTGCCCTTATCAACTTCAAAATACCCCAAAAATTCGTTATTCAAAAGCACAATCCAATAATCTCAAAAATTCATAGTGATTGACCTTAGAAATTTAATAAACTATTTCACTTGTCAACTTCAACAAATCGAAATCAACAATATTATCCTCTCTTTTATAATGCACTAAAATAAAATTAAAAATATTTGAGGAAGACAAGTGTTTGGATAACTCAAATATTTGGAGTTTGATTATGGGAACCACTCAAAAGTGTAGTATAGAAGATTAGTCCGCTTTTTATTTAGTCAGAAATCTCAATTTTTAAATTTTGAATGTAAAAAAAAAATTAATAGAAAGATTTTTTTTCGAATGAGCTCTAAATCGTATATATTCATATTAATTAAAATCTAATATAAATATTGAATAAAAAATAAAATTTTAAAAAATTAAAATAAAAGGTCAATTATTGGAGGCCAATAAATAATTTAAACCTTCATATAAAAGAAAAAGCAAATGAAAATTCAACAACTGCAAAATGATCATGTGTCACTTCAATTATCACTTTTTTATTTTTTGTTTGGTACTAAGAGACGTGATTATTTATAAGTATTAGGGGTGGTTGGGTTGGGGGGGTCGTGAAAAAGGCTCGTTTGTATAAAGTCTGAATCGCTAGTAATTGTCGATTAGTTATAAAGCGAAACTCCCTATTAGAGCCTATATATTTTTTTTAAAATAATTTTTAGGGTTATTTTAAGAAAAAGTCGCTCGTTTCGATAATATAATAAAATAATATATTTTCAGAAGATCCCTATATAAATATATGGTCTTATTAATATTAGAGAAAATGCACAAGTACTCCTTTAACCTATGTTCGAAATCTCAGAGACACATTTATACTATACTGAGGTCCTATTACCCCCTGAACTTATTTTATAAATAATTTTCTACCCCTTTTTCGCCTACGTGGCACTATCTTGTGGGCTCAACACGTGACATTTAAAAAAAAATAAATACTAAATAAATTTAGTGAAATATGATTATATTATATTCTTTTTTTGTTAAAATTTGAATCTAGTTAAAACTCATTTATAACTTTTTTTTATTGAATCCAAAAGTTTCGATGTTATCTTTTCTAACTACACCATAAAATTGTGAAGAATTTTAGTTACAAGTGTTTCATTACGCGTAACTAGTTCAAAAGGTATTGTGTGATCTTCAATTTTATCATTAACATTGTTTTTCCAATGGTAAATACAATTTTTTCTAAGCTCTAGACCTCTTAACATGTATCATTTTTACCCATCCAATAGGTTATTAAGATCTATTTTATCGCAGTAACCGAGATCTTTAATTATGACCTTAAGTTTATGAATGATGTTCTCACAAGTGGATTCTTTCAAATTCTTTGAGATTTCATCTCTGAAATTTTTTTTTTTGGTGTCGAAACACTTTTTTTATAACATACTAATATTTCATAATCTCGCCTATTTAGTATAGAGAAGTTTTACTATATATATATATATATATATATATATATATATATATATCATTCAATATTTAAAATTCACATGAAGGCTTCAATTAAATTTAAATTGCACTCTGCATGATCCATTCGGATGGAAATATCAATACTTTATACCAAGACCACATATTTTCAAAATAGCCCATAGTTTTTCACATCATTTTCATAAAAAAGTTCAACTATATGCTATCTTATTAAATAGTACAAATAATAAAGTGCCACATGAGCCACCAAATGACAATAATGTGGGGTGACTCAACTTTCACACTCCATACTTTATTTGTTTGGTAGAAATTAATAATTATATATATAATTAATAGAATTTGTTGTCAAATAGCAACTAGTTATTAAAAAAAAAACTAGAATTATTTAATATCTTTCAAAAGTGATTCCTAACATGTCTATCTGGCACACTTCATGAACACAAATATTTTATTGTTAATTTAAAATAATATGAAAACCTGATTTATGATTAATTATATGTTTATACGAGAAATATTGTAAATATTTTTGTATTTGGTGTAAATTATTAGTTTTGTATCAGAACTATTAAACTTAGATACATCATCGATACAATCTTGATCTGTCACATGACAAAACTAGTCGTCTCAAATTTTTTAGGAGTATAGCACTCTTAATAAAAAAAACGAGAAAGTGTTGAAAATACTCATAAACTTGATAAGACTTTAGGGGTGTATTTTACTCGTGTTGTAAGATTATGGATTTATTTAAGTTCAGTTAGTCAAGTAAAGAGGTGTGTCTAAGGGTCTAAGGTTGTAATAGTTTGAAGATGAAACTAGTCATTCACGTCAAGTTTGACAGATATTTTTCTCCTAAATATTAACCTGTGAATCGAAATAAATATATTGACTTTAAATTTTAAATCTGCTTCTACACTGACTCAATCACACTAAATATTATACTAGTATGCAACTGTATTTCTTAGGTTAGTTGCCTTTAAATTCTCTTCTAAATTGAGTATATGATATATTATCAAAAATGTGCTTGATTAATCATCAATAATTGAGATTAATTAATCAAGGAATCTATAATAGTATCTTGTCAAATATAACCTAAGAATATTCATTTAATATGCTTATTTGAAAGAGTGATGACACATGGCAAGTGAGAAGAAAGTTTGTTTTTCTATGTATTCGGTATTCAATGTTCGTATTGATAGTTTTGATAATTTAAATTTACATGACGTAAAATTTATCTTTAAAAGATATACGTTTTAATTATACAAATATTTTTATCTTATTTACTAATTTTTATTAATTTGAAATAATTAAAATTTTATCACACTGATTAGTGATATTATATCAGATTATCTGAATATAGTTTTTTTAGCTATCAGATACACTAAAATAAAGAGAGAAGGCGTAGGATGACAGGAGGAATGCGAACAAGATTTATCTATGCATATCAAATACACATGAATCTCACTTGATACATGTATTCGATATAATTCGTGTATATATGAAAAAACAGTTGCAAGAGCGAGATAAGAGAGGCGAACGAGATTTGCATATGCATATTAATTCACTTGAATATGGTGTACGTATAACAAATTGAACCGAACTTTGGCAATCTTGACTTATTTGCGCACGAAAATCTGATTAAATTCATAAGATTATAAACTAGTGTGAACCTAAGTAATTAACTACTAAATTAATGAAATTTCTTAAAGTTATTCCTAATAATTACACACAATTAACACAATTACTGATCTTCCATCAATTCTTAACTTGACCTCTGCGAATCAACATTCAAACTTAAAATCTTTAATTAATAATAAAGATATTGTATTAATCCCACCTAAATCCTTATTTATAATAAGTTCAAAAAAATAAAGGTAATCACATTTTGAGAGAGATGTATTACTAGTAACTATGAAAATTATTAATTAATTATAAAATAACAAATGCTTATAATATGTTTCTTATCCATTAGTTTGTCATATAGTTTCTATTATATATGATTAGATTTCTAATCAAAATTTGTCTTCTTATGCACATGGCACAAATAGCATATGCTGGTACCAATAAATGAATATTAAAGTGTTCTAGCATATACAAAAATGTGTGATTGAAAATAATTCCTTTTGGAACAAGTGAAAAAGACTTCCAAACTTTGAGATTGGAGTATACTTCAGTTAATATTTAATTTTTCATAACTAAACGAGAAAATTAAAATAATGTTGGGTTTAGCAAGTGTGAATGGGAAAAGAGAAGAGGGAATATGAAAAGTAAGGGAACTATTTTGGAGGGAAAATGAAAAGTCATTTCTCTCATATCGACAAAAGAAAGGGAAATTGTTGTCCTTATATAAGGAAACACTTCCATTGCTTCTTAAAGAGCTAAGAAGAAGATGCCCCCTCGCCGCGGCGGCGTCGTTTGTTGCTCGGTTTAGGATGTGATTGATAAAAATTTTGGACAAAATTTATTTAATCAGTTTTTGTTAAATCAAATAAATCCTGTTAATATTATCTCTTATAAATTTGCGGGTAACGGTAACATTCGGAAAAGTCGTTACTTTCCGAAAAGCCGTTATTTTTATAACAGACAGATTTT